GGACGTGACTGGCCTTGACCCTCCACTCTGCGGATAGCCTCCATTTCCCCTCCCCCGTTGCCCTGTTTGTCTCTCTGAGGGAGGGTGGGAGGAGGGTGGTGGGTGTGGGGAGGGTAAACTGGGGATATACACATACCTCTCGGATAAAACGCCTCACTAAATCCAAAATGCTCAAAAGTGACTTTTCGCCAACAGCACCGCAGGGATTCTAGGTAGGTGAGGGCAAAACGGAGGCCAAGTTCGACCTCCCCCCCTCCTCGATATTTTTTTTTCCTCTTTTTTTTTTATTTTTTATTTTTTTTAATTAGTCTGACATAGATGACGGCTGGGAGGGGAGGGGGGGTGGCAGATAGGTACACTTTTAAAAACAAAACAAAAAGGAATTATCTGAAACAGCATAGGGTGCCACAGTCCCAAATACCCCACACAGGTGTTTAAACAGGCTCGTGCCAGAGGCTAAATAATAAAAACAGGCGCTTTTACTATGTAACAATGTGCACACAGTTTCTTTTGCACCTTTCACTGCAAAAATCATCAAAGCATTTTGTGTGCATACACATGGGTCTTTTTCTTCTTTTCCTCTCTCCCTCCGTTTCACGTTTACTTCCTCTTCCCTTGGTTGCTGAAAATCTTCAGGCTTGTAGCTATTTTCCTTCCCTTGTCGGAGGCAAAGAGATGCAGTACATCTGTCCTCTTAAGGTTTTACCACCGCAGTACCAAAATATTGCATGGCATACGATCACCTCTTAAGTGATGCACGTTAGAGTAAATGGGTTTTGTTTTTGTATCGTTTTGTTTTTTTCCTTCTCCATTTATCGCGCTAGTCGTCGTCCGAACGGGGAGGCTTGCCATGACGTAAAGCCGTCACGTGCGTGGTTCTTTTGTCCTCCCTTTTCATGCATATTGTCTAATCAGTGTCCATGTAGTTAAAACGGAGGCAGCGCGCACATGTGCGAAGAGCAGATTATAGGCAGGTTTAATCAACCTGTGCGCATTTTTGTTTGGGGGAAAAAACCAACACTGCAACAGGAGTTTAAATACTGTAGGCAAGCTGAGAATCATATTTGCTGCTTTCTTTTTTTCTTTTTTTTCTTTTTAAATAGAGTATTTGCAAAACAGAGCTATAAGACATCACCAAGAATGAATTGGTTCTTACTGGTATAATGCACTTTTTTTTCTCTCTCTTTTGTAATAAATTTAGAATTTCTAATGTAAGGCATACAGTAATATACTGAACTTGAAACCTAGCGTTTTGTCTTGATAAGTGATTTTTAGGACTGTTAACGGCTTGCCGAGGTAAGCATAATGATAATGTTAAGCAATGATACGATGACTTGGTAAGACTTGAGGCCTCTTAACATAGTTTTATAATGTAGCTCCTTATAAAATGGACTGATTAGGATGTAAGTGGAGGGAGACATCTTAATTGTAGTGTTTTTCTTTTGCAGTCGTCAATCCATACCTGTGTCTGAGGATGTCGCTCCCCCCTCGCCCCCTGTAGTTTTCATTACAGCTTCCTGTTAAGTGATGGCTGTTGGAGCCATCGAGGCTTCACCTTGTCATGAATGTTGCATGCTTTTTGACAGGTCTTGCTCCTTTCGTTTTTCTTGTTCTTCTAGTAGCTGGTCCCTTTTTAGGGACCCACCTTTATAAGTGCTTGTCAATGGCAATGCAACGCGCTGCTGGACTGATAAGGTACTTCTCCAGCTTATGATCAAACTAGTGATTGTCGTTGCCATATATTCACCCGTTGATACTGTGTAGGATATGCCTGGGATAAACAGACTGAGTCCTGATAGTACGTTCCCTCATCTTGGTTATCTTACTCTGCTTTATCTTCTCATCACTGTCCATGGTGTGGACGGTTGTAATGGAGCTGTATATGGTTGTTTGCCTGGTGTTTCCAGAAGTACTTTTTAGACATAATTTCACACCAGCCCTACTCAAAAGTTATGTTTGGGAGTAAAGTTAGGCCACTTGCCTGGTGGTTAATAGCTGGACAGGGTGCACAAAAGCTTCAGAGATGATGATGATTAAGATCCTACCCACGCAGGGCAAGAGACCGGTCAGGGGTCTCCCTGGCAACCTCCGGTCGCTAGAGGAAAAATGTCTATTTCACGAGTGTTTTCTGGCGTTTGCCAGGTGGAAATTCGTCACAAAGGGGATTTATACAGCGTTCTAGTGATAACCTCGAAATTGCTTTGAATACTTCCAGGTGGCTTCTGTGTCTATAGTTTCTATTGAAGACTGCTCACTGCTGGTGAAACTGCCAAGTTCACCACTAACCAGAAACTGAAACTGTTCCCTTTAAAGTAAAAGTAAAAAAGGACAGAAGGGAAAAAACAGAAAAGAAATTGTTGCATCAGTAAGGCCCGGTTTTTACTTTGACAGCAAATGTTTTTAGTTTCTGGTTTGAAGGTTTTTCACATTTAGCCACCGGAGGTCGCCAATCAGTCTGAGGCCTGATGGACATCTCTAACACATGCTCCTGCCTGATCAA